CCTGTCTCTGCGGGGATATGCCAACCACAGAACTCTCTGAACTGGAGTGCCTGCGTGTGTGCATGCCATTACGTGGTTAGAGGCATGTATGCTTGCACTGAGAATACTGGGGAATTCTGCTCACATTAGCGAACCACAGGGTTTCTTGAAGTAATTAAATAGCAGAAAGATTGCTTCTTCCCAAAAGGAAGGTAACTGAATATTGAAACATCAGGCAGTTGTGTAAAATAGCTAAATGGACACAAAGTTGAAACCCAGACTTCTAAGAAATCCACCTCAGCAAACCCAGCCCATATGCCAGAGATCATGTGTGTGGTTTTGGGAGGCACGTGGATTTTGAAGGGGGCCTGCTCATGATCACTAATATGGTCTGGCACAAATAATCACTTCTTTACTCTACCTAAGGCAGCACTGGGGCACATTAGCAGGCCTTGAGAGGGGAGGCAGCATGTACCTCTTTCTCAAACCTTAAACTCTTAAGCCCCAGTACATTTTGTCTTCTGTACTGTCCAACCAGTAACAGTCACCAGTGCCAAATCCATTTCTTCAATTTTATGTTATCACCCCCAATAGAATTAAATACATCCGCACTGTTAAAAATACTAGAGCCCTTGGGTTGAGTCAGTTGTTCTCATCTGGAGAACAGGGCTCATTTTATTCCAGGTCAGTAATAAAGATCTGACAAAGAGGTGTACTAGAGAACCCCCACCAGGACAGTCTTGTACCTACAGTTTTGCACTGAAACACTAAGCAGCCTGAAATTACCATAGATTAAATAAAAACTTTCTTTTTCTGTCAAAACAGAACAGAATCCAGTTCACCAGCCACTAGAATCATTAATCAATGAAGCAAATACGACATAAAATAATTGAATAATTACTTTCTAAGGTATTGCCCAAAGCCCTGCATCTCTTGATTGCTCTGTTCATTCAGATGTAGGAGCATTTAAAGCTAAAGGCAGGGGGAGGAGGGGAGGTTCTTTTTTCTGTTTTTTTCAGAAGAGCTGTTTGTAAATGTTCCAGTTGCGTTTAAGCAAATAGCCATAAAAGCGTATCTGCTCTGGAGTTCAAGAGCCAGATTTCCAAAGGTATTACATGCCTGAAGATGCAAACAGTCTTTACACAGTTTTCAAAAACACTGGAGGAAGTTAGCCATCTATTCCTGCAGACTCCAGCAGTATTAGCATCGCCCCTCCAGGGGAAAATACAACGCAAGGAAATTAAAGTCACAAAACCATGTCACTGGAACACACTTACCCATGCCACACAATCTCCTGAGCATAGCATTTTTACAGAATACGAACAAAAGAATGGCTACTCCAAGTCAGTTCAGAGGTCCATCTAAACAACTATCCTGCGTCTTAGTAACAGAAGCTTAAGGAAAGAGTATAAGAAATGCGCTAGATATGGAGTGATTTTTGATCTTCATATACCTTCTCAGCAACCAGTGGCTTAGGGAGTTCCTGAAGGCCGCCTCCTCATTGTCATATACTTCCCTATAAACACTCACAGCTATTTCTAATCACTTGCTCAGCAAAAGGTACAAAAACTTTGCACAACACACGTAAAAGCAATGCATTCGGGTAGCACTGTATCCGGAATCACAGAGATGAAACCTGTAGTTATATGCTCTTTTTGCCCTTTCTGTTGCGTATTGAGGAATCCCAGTGTGCAGCAGCTACAAAGGACCTGTCAGTAAAGTTGGGTCAATGTTATTTAGGGCCACAGAGTTTAAAACGACTAGGACTACATGAAATCAAATATATTGCTTTCACAATTTTTGCTAGGGAAACAGATATGTCATCATGGTAAGTAAGAGCAGTACAGGTCCACCTTTCTGTGCCACTCACAAGACCTTTCCTGCAATGATTGTTAGTTTGCTTGTTGTTGAAGTCTCATCTTACTTTGAAAGGGTCACACATGCGTCTCATTAATCACAACTTAAGAATGAATGACAGGTTGCTTCATTCTCTCCAGCTGCTCAATGACCAAAGGAAACTAAATCTATTTGAACTAGTCTTTAGTAGTAAGGGCTCTAGGCTCAAGTTTGGTCACATCTAAGCCATTACAAACATTGGATCAAATTTCTTCTGCTCAGACTTGAGTGAAACCATTGCAATCACTAGAAAGAAAGCCTTCCGGTCACAACTTTGCTTTGGAAGACCCAGGACACATTCCTTTTTTGCAGCTAGCCTCCACTCACCCTCCCTCCCTTACTCCACTGGAACAAAAACCCCATGTGGAAGGTGTTTCTTCAGTGTGCACTTCTAAGGTTTTAACAAATTCCCAAATGCTGCAAGGAGAGAATATGAGATATTTAGGAGAAAGCTGGGAGGGGGGGAGGTGGCAGCAGCAGAAGGATGTTCTTGTACATGGTCATGGACACTGGGACTGCTCTTTGTCCTTGCTTTCTGTGATGAAAGCTGCCATCTGTCCCAGCCCATCGCCATCCTGAGAAGCTGGCATCCCTTAGCTGATGATAGCATCTGGAAGCCAGTTCTAATAGGATTGTACTCATACCTCTTGCACACCCAGACATCTCTGTCTCACTCCAGGCTCCTCTCAAACAGAAAATGCTGCCAAAAACTAATATGAGCCCTTAAATTTCCCCTTAGGTCAGTTCACTCAAGTTCGTGCCTTTCCCACTGCTCCTGTGACTCTCTCAGGAATAACCACAGCAAAGTCTCCCTGCTCCATCATTCTACAGAAAGCAACTAACTGTTAGGGGATCAGCTGTGCTTGCTTGA